GCAGAGCATAGCACAAGGGACATGCACTTTAACTCTCTGCTTTTTCCTCGTTCTCTTTAGCCCATATTGATTCCAGCTCTTTTCTTCCATGGCACATCATCACCTTCATGACTGTTTCATTTACTGTATTCTCATGACTGTATGAGAATTTTGAGAACAGGTTCATCTCTAGGTCTCATTCATTTAATATTGTTGACATGCCAAAAGTTGAGGACAACATGATCATCTCTCATCCTCTCACTTCAGATAAGGAAGTGGAAGCACAGGGACATGAAGTAGTGAATCTAGAGTGTTCTTGCAAATAAGAGGAATCTCTGAGACTCAGAGATTTGTTGTTTTTAAAGGGAAATGTATTTATCAGTTATTATTTTGGTTTGTTCAAATAAAATTAAGTATTTTTTTCTGAGTTCTGCATCTCTCAGACTTGCAAAGTAAAGTGAAATATTGTAAAAAAAAAAAAACAACAACAAAATAAACAACACCCCCCATGTTATTAAAATTGTCCATTTAATGTAGAGTTATTTTATTAGGATGCTTGAGAACTGCAGGTGAAAACATGGCCCCCCAAAAGCCACTGATGACTACTGTCAACTTTACTCACTCCTTATTAGCTATACAGTTACTCCAGTGATGACCCAGTTGACAGTGATCTACTTAGGAGATATATCTCTACTTTTACATGTCTGTTTTATACACAATTCTTCTCTCTTACAAAAACAAAGAAAACAAGGAAAGGAAAGGAAAGGAAAGGAAAGGAAAGGAAAGGAAAGGAAAGGAAAGGAAAGGAAAGGAAAGGAAAGGAAAGGAAAGGAAAGGAAAGGAAAGGAAAGGAAAGGAAAGGAAAGGAAAGGAAAGGAAAGGAAAGGAAAGGAAAGGAAAGAGTGAGTTTTATGCGATGAGGATATCACTTCAATTTTAGGAAGATTTTAAACTTCCTGGCTATTTTTTTTTTTCTTTTTTTTTTTTTTTCTTGAACATAGCTGTCCATGTATTTGGTTTGCCCCATATTATTCTGTATATCTTAGTATGCATGGTTTATCAATTAATGTTCTTTACACAAGAGGCCTCAACTCAAAAATCTTAAACACTTCAATTTTATACTATTTTAGGTACAGTAGCTTAGTGGGTTTATAAATTACCACTGTGCAACTATATATAATTTTTAATATTTAAAAAAATATTTCCATGAAAAAAGACAAATTTGCTGGATTTTACCCTAAAGTACATAACAAAAAGATTACAGACTTCTTGTTGTCTTGCTCAAAGCTGAATTTTTGAAATTTGTCCCAGTGGTCACGTTTGTTTTGCACTTGCCAGTACTATATTTTCGGCTGATGTAAATGCACAGATTTTACCAGTCTACCGCACCCTTTACATTTTCGTGAAAGCTAAGACTTTGCTATGGCATTTCCAGAAATCAAATTCATGACTCATTCCATGAGTAAAATTCATTCTGTATCAACGCCAGTGAGGACAATAGATTTCCAACAGATTTCTAAAGAAGAATTTAGCCCATTATGTTTCTTGAACTCAATGTAACCTCAGAATTTAGAAGAGGAAAGGCTGAAGACTTATTAGCATTTGCAAGTGGTAACTGGGTGAAACCCTGGGGATAGCAAAATGTAATTTTGCTGTGCACCTATACCTGATAATTATCCTGTAAGTTAGCACTTTAAAGAGGCAGCATGTTGATAAGCCAGTTTTGTCTGAAGTGTCTTCTTTACAGAGTGTCTTCTCTCCTTTAAAATACACCAGCTCAGTTACTTAACAGGTGTTCATTTATTTTTCAGTTCTCACATCTCACTCTGAAAACAGCAGGTGCTCTACCACAAATTTAATTCAGATTGTTCCTCCCTGGAGTTCTGTGCTGGCTGTTCTAACTACAACCTTTGTATGCCTGTAACAGTCTTTGAAAATTGTTTTTAATGTATTTGCATTTATTAGAGAATTTGAGTATTTAAAACCTTGAAATATTTTTCACAGTGTAACCTTAGGAAAATTCCTTAGGCTGGGATTTTCTAAATTATCTTTTAATAGGAAATACATAGTTAAATATTTTTGCCAGCTTACAAAATTCTTGGTCTTTTCATGCTTCAGTTCCTTATTTGTTAAACTGAGGTAAAAGCTTACCTCAGCAAAGGATATTATGGGAATTAATGATGTATTATATTATTGATATATTGATGATTATAATAATGATATATATATTAAAGGATATTATGGGAATTAATGATTTACGGATTGTTTTTGCAGTGACTGGACAGTATATACAAGTGGATAAGTGTCATAAATGTACACGTTGTTTTCCACTCCCTAAAGACTAGCTGTATATTTACACGTTTTTGCAAAATATTTTCGTATTTTTAAAACCAAGAGGTTATTTTCTTCTGCAGCTGCACAGGTTCTCTGAAGTTTTTTTGCCCTGTAACTACATAGTTTCTCTAAAGATGTTTTGCCAGTGGTAAATTTATGACATACCCTGAGGTGTAACCTTAAGGATAGTATAGTGCAAGGCACTTCACTATCCCTTCTACAAGTGCATATTTGATCTGCATGTAGGAAGATGCTACATATACAAAGTAATTCATTTTCTAGTCTTATTATTAACATTTTTAATACAAAAGGGGCTCAGTTAGTCATCATTACAGTTTAATGCTCTGAAACACTTCGGTGTTAGTAAGTACCCAAAAGAGTAAATACCTATTTCTTAATTTAAACCATTATATATATATTTTTTTCCAATAGAAAATATAATGTAAGAATCACAGGAAATTATGTCTTAGCTTGCATTTTTATAACAGCATTAGATGTAAAAATTAAAATTATCATCATACCCTTTATAACCTCACATAATGTAAAGAAATTATGCCCAGGATCTTCCTAGTCTGTTAAGAAGATGAGGGAGGGGGGTGAGTTTGCTGTGCAATATATTTCTTCCTGATTATAGGAATGTATTGGTGGGAAGGAGAGGGAGAGTAGTATTTGTGGATTTTAACTCTTGTGATGCAAAAACTCATCTGGCCTGTCAGGAAGAGACTAACTTCTTCATTCATACTGAGATAATTCTTACCTGGAAATGACACCTGAATAATTACAATGGCTTTTATGGGCCAGGAGAGTAAACGATTTCCTGTTTTGCTTCAGATCTATGCATGCATGTTCATCAATCTCATAAAGTTTACACAGCAGTGTAATCTCACGTACATGAACTTCAGTCTGCAAAAGAAAAGAACACTGGTCTAGGGATAAGACTAAAACTTCATATAGTATACACAGATCTGATGATTGCTTGTAAATGATTGCATGTACATGATTGCTTGAAAATATAAATAAAAATTTGAGAGTTCTTTGCTGCAACATCCTGGAATCTCATTTCAAAAAGATGTATAAAATTAATGCAGTCTGTGTTTTGTGATCATAAACAACCATGATTTCAACTCGGTGCTTTGGCTCAGCATGAAATAGATGACTAGTCTTTTTTTTAGTGAGGTTACTTACACATTTAATGGTTGCATGATAGGTCCAAATCATGTTACATTTTTGCCTAGGAAGACAATAAACCTTCTCTGGTTGTATAGACAATTATTCCATTCTCAGGCTGCAAATTCCTGTTGATTCATATGAATTTCTATTCTTTTCTGGAGGCAGTTAACATCTTGCAGCAGATATGCTTATAACCTATACTGAACACTCTTTAGAATATTAATGTCTAGAAAATATGAGAGGAGTGTATTTATTCAGCTACATCATTTCCATTATAATGACTGAACAGTAAAGACTATGTAGTTGCAGGATGGTTCTATTGGAAGCAGGCTTCGTTTGGGATACACTTGCAAATTACTGATGGAAAAGAAAATGTTCCTGCCAAGTAAAAAAAAAAATAAATATAGCAAGTGTAATGTAAAAGTGTCATAATAAGTGCTGTTTTATTTGACTGTGAATTAGAAATTGTTTTTCATGAACGTGTTCACATTGTTTCATCAACTAGAAATAGGAAGGCCCTCACATTAACATATTTTGATTAATTCTGTGCAGTTTTGCCTAATACTGAAAATTAGAACTGAATGTTTCTATATATTTCAGTATTTCTGAGAACGTCTTGCTCTTGAATAGATGTTTTCACAAAATCTGAACAGGATACCAAATCATTATTCCAGTTCACAGTTATGGGACTGAGGTATAGAAGGAAACTGGCTTGTCTTCACTGAATTCCTAAATGATGCTATGATTGATTCTTGGTTTTTAACTGGACACCCAAACAATTCTTTATGTTCAATTTAAATCGTGTTTCTAGGTTGATCTGTTCAATTGGAGTGAATTGGACTGCCAGTCAAGTGCTGCTATTAGGGAGACTTAAAACTGTGGCACCTGGAGCCTGAATAGTTCATTGAACTCATCACTCTCTCTGGCTCCAGAACTATTGAACGGCATAGTCACTCTCTGTCCAGTTATGCTAGTTTGAACAGAATAACTCAAGTCTATTAACTAAGTTTGTAGTGAAGGCAAGCCATTAAGTGACTCTTCCAAGGCCAAAAAAAAAAAAAAAAAAAAAAAAAGAGAGAAAGCAGGCTGTGTCTTCTGGATCTCACCTGTCTTCTGTCCAGTAGATGAATTGAGACCTTATTTATAGGCATTTTTTTATGCTTTTGTACTGATGCTAACAGGCAATCATTCTTCTGTTGTATATTCTTCATTATTGATCAGCATTATTTGGGGAAAAAAAAAAAAAAGAAAGAAAAAACAATCCCTCCCCTGAAAATTTGTTAAGATTTCCTTTTGACAGTGAACATTATACTGATGATGTTAATGAAGACATTAGTTTCACAGCATTTGAAGTATTGAAACACTCCACTGTTAACTAGCCTAGTGGGGTTTATGCTAATGTAAAATGTAATAAAGTAGAGGCCACTATCTCTTTAAGCTGAAAGAAAGGAAACTTGTTTCTACTTCCAAGGGATGCCTAGTGTGTGCTTATCTAATTGACTGTGTATTTTGTCTAGGTGTTGAGGGAAAGCTAAGAGAATGAAGGCTCTAAGTCCCCAGTGGAAGCATGATATGGCGATGCAGTGCTGGTGCTGAATTGTTCTCTCTGATGGCTCTATGGGAGTGGATAGCACTGAGTCTTCATTGCTGGGTTTTAGCGGTTGCTGCTGTTTCGGATCAGCATGCCACAAGCCCCTTCGACTGGCTCCTCTCTGATAAGGGACCCTTCCATCGCTCACAGGAATACACAGATTTTGTGGACAGAAGTCGACAGGGATTTAGCACAAGATACAAGATTTACAGGTATGAAGCAAAGGGAAAGCAATTACAGAAATAACATCCTTAGAAGCTGTAAATTATCAACAAGAGTTTCCTTAAATGAAAGTTTTACATGTCCGTAGACACAAAAATCATATATGCAAGTCCATATATGCACTGCACACTATGGAAATGCTTGCTTGTATTGTTTCTATTCTGTTTAAAGAAATGTTGCTAATTGATAATATTGCTTTTGAAAGCATTGTTTACTACCTATCTCTAGTCTGACAGCCTAGTGACATACTCAAAAATGTTCTAAGGTATTCAATCAACTTTTCTGGGGTTACTATGGGACACCCTTGTTTGTGAAGAAAGATCCAGTTTAATTGCTTTCAGTGCTGCTCATCAAGACATAAACTGATACTTTACAGAAGAAATTGTGGCTTCAGAGATACAGCTGGCAAAGCATAGGCTTCACTGTACAAATAAGGGCATTTCAAAAGTAACTCAAAAGATTTTACGTTAGTTTATTCCCATGTTTAGAGAAGTAGCTTTCTTATCCCTGAGGGACTGAGGTCTAAGAGTCCCTGTTAATTTTAATGGAAGTTCATAGAATCATTAAGGTTGGAAAAGACCTCCCAAGATTATCACCCTACCACCAATATCACTCACTAAACCATGTCCCTAAGCACCACGTCCAACCTTTCCTTAAACACCCCCAGGGATGGTGACTCCACCACCTCCCTGTGCAACCTGTTCCAATGCCTGACGGCCCTTTCTGAGAAGATATTTCCAGTCTGAACCTCCCCTGTTGCAGCTTGAGGCCATTTCCTCTAGTCCTAAAACTAGTTATCTGCAAGAAGAGGCCGACCCCCAGCTGCCCACACCTTCCTTTCAGGTAGTTGCAGAGAGCAATAAGGTCTCCACTGAGCCTCTTCTTCTCCAGACTAAACAACCCCAGTTCCCTCAGCTGCTCCTCACAGGACTTGTGTCCCAGGCCCTTCACCAGCTTCGTAGCCCTTCTCTAGACATTCTCCAGAGCCTCAATGTCCTTCCTGTACTGAGGGGCCCAAAGCTGAACACAGTACTCAGGGTGCGGCCTCACCAGAGCAGAGTACAGGGAGATGATCACCTCCCCGGCCCTGCTGGCTGCACTGTTCCTGATCCAAGCCAGGATGGCGTTGGCTTTCTTGGCCACCTGGGCACACTGCCAGCTCATGTTCAGGAAAGCATCAATCAACAACCCCAGATCCTTTTCCTCTGCACAGCTTTCCAGCCACTGTGCCCCAGGCCTGTAGCACTACATGGAGTTGTTGTGACCAAAGTGCATGACACAGTACTTTGCCATGTTGAACCTCATCCCATTGCCTTCTGCCCATCGACCCATCCTGTCCAGGTCCCTTTGCAGGGCCTTCCTACCCTCCGGCAGATTGACACTTCCCCATAACTTGGTGTCATCTGCAGACTTACTGAGGGTGCACTCAATTCCCTCATCCAAATCATCAATAAAGATATTAAAGTGTTTGTTCCAACAGAAACCTCAGCAGTATACCAGCTGAGGAAAAAAGAGAAAAAACGGGAAGACTTCAGAAGTATAGATCTGCTTGAGAATTTGTACCTGGCTATCGAATCACTTTCATTATATATTTGTAACCTGTCAGTTTTCAGTCTTTTGAGGCAACACTGGTGAAATACCTTCTTAATCATTCGCAAGAGGTTTAACTCAGTAACACCTAATAGGTTTATAATGGACCTGGAATGAAAAAGAGAGTTCAGTTTAATGGTCGTGAGTCAATGACAAATGAAAAGAAGGGAAGAAATGAGAAAACATGAGAGAATAAGGACTGAAAAAACAAATCTATAAGCAGAGAGACTTATTGTTATAGATCGTTCCCAGAAGCAGAGATAGTGGTAGCAGTGGTGCGATGCAGGACAAATTGTTAACTTCTCTAATAATTCTCTAGCCTATAAACACAGACCATTTTGGCATGGAACAACACGTACTGATTAGATTTAAAACAACGAAACAGTCTGTGTAAATTTTATACCTACTTTAAATTGTTATTCCCTGGTGGTATATATTTCTTTAGAAGGAAAGAGTGATGCATGCCTACATGCATATGCCATTCTTTATTTCAATGACCAGTGCCCTGTAACAAATCTGCTGGTCTCAGTATATAAAGCTTTTATTTTTAAGGAACTTGCTTTATTTTTCTTTCCTAAATACATGCAGTAGAGGGCACTCTGTTGCAGGTCAATTTTGTAGTGGGTTCTTTTGCGATATTATAGAGAAATTAAACACATTTTGAAAAGAAAGTGTGATTTGGAAATATGCTCTATGAAGCGGCTTGTCTAAACAGAACAGCATTGTCCTATATTTATTGCATTTTAAAAGCTAGCTGTCAGGACCAATAATGTAAAGTGAATAATGCAGAGACTGAGATAACATATTTTATTCCTATTATTCTATATTAGTCAACACTGAACAAAAATTATCTTGCTAAAAACATGAAAGATGGAATAGTATTTCATTTCAGCTCTTTCAATCAGGTCCTTAGGATTTTTTCTTTTCTGAGCCATCATTACAGAAACATTGTTAGGTTTTCTAGATCTGTAATCATATCTCTAATATTTCTGCATAGGTTTTAATTGACTTTAATTTACGCAAATCCAAAGAGAGTGTCATTTGTATTTATTCCTGTCCTCTGCTTATTCTCTTCAACAAATGAACTGGAAAGAGACACAAGCTACCAGAATAAATAGAAAACTGTCTTTTAAGTTATTATTATTATTTTTTTAATTTAGTTCTCCCAGTACAAATCTAACTGCAAAGTTCCCATATAAAATATGGTCCCATTAGCAAGTAGTGCAGAACATGGTGACCTTGCTACAAACCACACACCATAAATTTAATTCCTGTTGCTTGTCTATAAGCTTTCTCAGGCTGAAGTATCTTGAGTCTAATTGGACTGTTCATTGCCTCACCTATCTTTTATCTAATGAAAATGAACCCACTGGGACACAGTCCTGATTAAAATGGAGAGGTAAGAAAGGAGAAGAAAGAGGGTGAAACACAGAATATAGGCCTGTATTGACTTATCTGAGTCATATGGCCAAGAAAAAAAGGTGCCACTCCAAACAGTGATGACAGGAGGGCCTCCTTTTCCTTTTCTCTTCTTTTCACCCCTGAGAGCCCATATCTGCCACACCAGTACTGTCATTTGTATGGCAGGAGACAGACTATTTTTAAGGTTTGGTTTCACCTACATGTATATAGTAATTGCTTTCCAAAATGTTTGGCAATCTTTTTTTTTTTTTTTTTTTTTCATTTACATTGTATAATCGGCTTGCAGTTAAAACAAATGGAGTCCAGCTTCAAGACTAAAACACAAGAAAATACATCAATATATGGACTCTATGCTAGCATTTCTGTTTTCCTCCTGTTTGTATGCCAGTGAGTCAAAAAAGCCATTGCTTTGTATTAGCACTATAAACAACTGCTCATCTGACCATGAATTTGTTATAAATTGTGAAGATAATGTCAAAGGTTGGTACTGAGAAAATGTACCTATTAATTGAGGCCAATTTCTTATGGGAGGTCTTAATTTAAGCATATGAAACACAAAGAAATAAAATTACACTTTGCCTTATCTAGCTTTCTGTACATAAAACAACTATTTGAGAAAAACAACTGATGCATAAATTATGGGAGAGTAGCAGTAGAAAAATCTACTCTCACCCATATTTTAATCTATGTACTAAAGGTCAGTTATGTCCACAGGCAAACAAGCTGATCCTGTAGAACGCCTAGCTCCTCAAGGAACTTTCAGTGTTACAGGATAGAGATGGAAGAAACAAAATATACATGTTTTAAACCAATATACAATGTTTTAAACAAGGATTTGCAGAACACTAAATAATTGCAACTGATGTCACCATTGTTGTTATAAGTTGGGGAAGGTGGACTCTTTATGGTGAATCTGTGGTGGAGTAATATTTCTATACTTCTTCATAGGAAATATCCTCCTGCAGGAAATTTAATTGTTGCAGTTTCTGATGGCATTTATTGCCAATAATCTATGAAGAGAAATGTCAGGGAAGCATCTGCTTGCCTGCTGAAAAGTGCTAAATTGGTGGGAATGCTGTGTCTATGGAAGGCGTCTATTTCATGGAAGGTAGCTTGTGTTGTTAATAACAGCAAGTATTTCAGCAAGGGAACCTGATTTTATAATTTATTTAATACACAATAGGAATCCTGTGCTGCTTATGTAAATCAGCTACATGGACAAAGGAATTTAAATGAAAATAAAACAAGAAAAGATGTTACCAGGGTGGAAAGAGTGAATGTGAAATTATGCAAAGAATATATATCATATCAGAAAAGGTAATTTCTACGAACATATGGAAGCATTTATGCTATCAAATAAGGTCCTGAGGAAATTTCCACAGGGATATTCTTTAGTTTTGTTCAAGTAAAATGATTTAAAATCTGAAACATATTTGAAAAATCAGGGGAAAAAAAAGCCTAGCTTTTTCTTTCAAGTCTGAAAGCTTTGGAACATTTGGAAAAAAAAAGAAAAAAAAAAAAAGAGAGATCTGGAAGAGGATACAATTATTGACAATATACATAGCATACAGTGATATGAACTATTTCAACAAAAATCTGTCACAATGCCAAATTGATATAAACTGGCTACAAATAAGTCTAGGCTGGCTATTTAAAAAAGGCTTCTAACCTTCAGAATAAAATCATTCTGGGAGAAATTATGTTGCAAAACCTTAAAATCCTAGGAATTGGGGAAAAGTTATAAGATGTTGCTTATGATAGTGGACTATGTTTTAGTAAGTATAGAGGTAAGTGTTCCTAACAAGTGTAGAATACTATTCAGGAGTATTCTGCAAAGGGAGAAGAAATTGTCTCTTAAAGTACTAAGTAGCTCTGTGCAGAATAATATTTACATGTATGTGGTTTGAGAAGTGTTCCCTCAGAAGTTGTTTTAAAAAGGCTTGTGTTCCTGAACAACTCAAAATGATTACAAAGTAAT